TTCAGATGGCACTTGGTGTTATACCTGACACTCTCGCCCGCGATCCGTTTGGGACCCTGGTCGCTGCTTGGAACTCGGCGGCGGCAGAGGCCCTTAACCGGATTGCGCCTTTACGGCCTATCCAAGGCAGTGGATCCAGGAGGGCTCCTTGGTTTACTGAGCGCCAAAAGAGACGCCTAGAGCGCCGCTGGAGATCCAGTAAGTCCGAGTCAGACCGGGCACTGTTCAAATCCTGCATCAGAGCCTACCTCCGGGCAATTCGGACGTCAAAAAAAACACACATTGCCGCTCTGATTGCATCTGCTGAGTCGCGCCCAGCCACCCTGTTCAGGATAGCGCGCTCCCTCCTTAAAGGGAGGAATGCAGGCAATCCTCTACAGGGTAGGACTGAGGAGTTCGTCCAATTTCTCGCGGATAAAGTTGCTCGGCTTCGGGCAAACCTGGACTCCAATTGCGCAGAGCCAGCCGAGGTACCGGGGGAGGGTCTTGAGCGACACCGTTGGATTGACTTTCAGTCTGTTACTCCTGAAGAAGTGGACAAGGCCATCGGAGCTGTGAGTGCCTCCACATGTGTACTGGATCCGTGTCCCTCCTGGCTGGTCGCGAACAGCAGGGAGGTGACACGGGGCTGGATCCAGGCGATAGTGACCGCTTCTCTCCGGGAAGGGTCCTTTCCCCCCCCCTCTAAAGGTGGCGGTGGTGAGACCCCTACTGAAGAAGTCGTCCTTGGATCCAGCCGTTCTTAATAACTACCGTCCAGTCTCCAACCTCCCCTTTGTTGGGAAGGTTGTTGAGAAAGTGGTGGCCTCTCAGCTCCGGCTCCGGTCCTTGGAGGAAACCGATTATCTAGACGCCTTTCAATCTGGTTTCAGGCCTGGCTACAGCACGGAAACTCCTTTGGTCGCACTGACCGATGATCTCTGGAGAGCCAGAGACGGGGGCCATGCCCCCGTTCTGGTGCCCCTCAACCTCTCAGCAGCCTTCGATACCATTGACCATGGTATCCTTCTGTGGCGGTTGCGGGAGGTGGGAGTGAGAGGCACC